GACCAGTGCAGAAGCGGTACTCCCTAGACACTATGTGGAAAATGAACGGTACAACTTGTGGGTGGGGATGGGAGCCAAAAACTATGAGAAAGGGAGGGAAGGGATAACGTTGTCCAAAAAGAAGTGCATTCTTTACCTATCTTATATGACTGTAAGCCCTCTGTACGTCACCTTTATAATAATGATTAAAAAGAAACGTGAGATCCTACAAAGAAAAAAATACAGCAAAAAGGCCTGGGGTGCAGCTCATGTGGTAGAGTGCTTGCTCAGCAAGTAGGAGAGGAAGCTCAACAGGACCATCAACCTACAAAAAGCAGTCATGGGAAGCAGGGAAGGACACAGGCCCTGCGGTCCCCGCCAGGGCTCCCGCAGGACTCAGCGAAGGTGGACATGACGGTCCCGGCTTCGCAGGGAAAGCTGTGAGAACTGAGATCGCCGGCAAGCCACCAGCAGTGTTCTTTTTTTCTTCAGAGCAACAGCTTTGAGGAAAAAGACACCTGAGAGACAGCGTATGTAAGAAGGGCACTCTGACCTTCCTCTTTCTTCCTGAAAACAGAAGATAAACTCTCCCAAGAAAGAAGCCCCCTCCCAGCGCCTGGGTGGGGGAGAAACGTTTTTATCATGAGGGTCTGGGGGGGAGGAGGGGAGGAGGCAGGAGACCACCTGGGCAAATGACCTCGTTAGACTCAAAAATGACCTTGTTAGACTCGCCCTTCTTTTCCACCTGTGGCTGCCCGGGCATAACCTCTGTCTGGTCCCGCTCTCACCACTGACTACATGCTGTCAAACAGCTGTAGAGCATTGTTTTTCCTGTGAGGGCTCCTGGGTCTATCATTTTTCCTGCCTGCCAATTTCACTTCGGGCCCAGCCACACCTTGAAGGGAGTAGAGGTCAAGCTCTGGCGGTCTCCCATGTCCTGCATACAGGCAGATACAGATGTGTGTCTCCTATCAGCTGCCTGATGGCCTCCTCCCCCTTGCCCACGTGCGGACCAGCCCCGAGCTGTGTCCTGAGAAAGTCAGGCGAGTGGAAAATCAACTTAGGCTAGACTGAGGGTCAGCCCACCAGGTGAAGAGAAGACATTAGTGTCCCGTGAGGGGGGGGGGGGGAGACGCTCACTCACCCTTCGTTTTTGGCCCACAGTAAGTTGGGGCCCAGCACGATGGCTATGTTGCTGGGAGTCATCTTATTAGCGTCGCTGGTCTGAGCGAGCTTCGCGAGGAACTTGATTAGGTACCTGCGAAACAGAAGGGATGAAAGGTCTGCAGGTCTCCCCGACCACCTGCGTTCCATGGCTCTTGCAGGTTTTTCTTTTGTTTTGAGAACTTGATTAATGAGAACTTGTAAGGAGGAAATCACCCCGGTTTTACCTCTATGTGCTGCACATTTCTAATCCATTTCTCCTCTATTATCCAATTGTTACCACTGAGTAAATTAGATTGGATTCAACAGTAGCTCAACATATTTTTAATACAAATATAGTAAAACAAACAAACAAACAAAATCAACCAAGGTACATTTCTTAAATGGAACTGTATTTAAACACATTTTATACTGCAATTATGAAAATATTCAATTTACATGCTTTAACTATAATTTTATATATCTGTAAGTATGGTTACATTAAAAAATTAAGTACAATCTAGCTCTCTTGTCAACAGGGAGCTGTTTTAAATAATGCTAGGCAGGGCTGGGAAGGTGGCTCAGTGGTAGAGCGCTTGCCTTGCATGCATGAGGCCCTGGGTTCGATTCCTCAGCACCACATAAGCAAAAAGAAAAAAGGGCGCTGTGGCTCAAGTGGTAGAGCGCTAGCCTTGAGCTGAAGAGCTGAGGGACAGCGCCCAGGCCCAGAGTTCAGGCACCACGACCGGACCCCCCCCAAAAAAAATAAATAAATAATGCTAGGTAATCCTTAAAGTGGAGTACTATGCAACCATAAAAAAGTTATCATGTACTGATATGGAAAAATTCTCTTAAGATTCACTAAACAAAAACATTAAAATGTTAAGTAAAGAAGATGAGGTGGAGGATGTGTACAATATACACTACCATTGGATGTTAAAAAGTGGGTGATGAGAGATATCACATGTATGTAGCATGTATATATGAAAGTAGTTGCTTATGCACATGTTCACTTTTTTTTTTTTTTGAGGTGAGGTACTGAGATTAGTACTCAGGGCCTTGAGCTTGCCAGGTACTCCAGCACTTGAACCACACCTCCAGACCCTTTCTATGTTGGTAAATAGGGGGGGGGTCTTGTTTCATACCTGTGTTGCTGGGGATGACAGACAAGGGCCACTGCGCCCAGCTACTATGCTTCCCCCACAGCTGGGATAACAGCTTCAGGCCACCACATCCACTTACTGTTCAGGATGGAGTCAGGAACGTTTAGACCAAGGCTGGCCTCCATCTTCATCCCCAAGATGTCCACCTCCCAAGCAGCTAGGATTACATACTTGAGCCCCCCTCTCCTGGCGTGCGCTGGCTCTTGCCGAGAGGCTGTGCAAGAAGCTAATCCTGACTGGCTCAGGAGAGGGATGGGTGGCGAGAGGAGGATGGTGGGAGAGAGGTTTCTCTTTTCAGTGTATACTTTTGAACTGTGAATCATAGGAAACTCTGGATTTTTGCACTCTATATTTAAAAAGCCACCAGTAAAATTTATAGAGTAAAACAAAGTTAAAATCCCAACACATTCTGAGTTATAGTTGAGTTCCCACCACAAATCACTGAACAGATTCCTATGCTTCCCAGCTGGCTGGGTTACATTAATGAGTAGTACAAACAAGGTAGATGCTTAAGGTGTTGGGAGTATTCTGTGAGCTAGGGCCAGAGACCAAGACTGAACTAAGGTCAGGAAACTTCTCTGACCTGTCATTGCTTGAATGGCTTTCACAAATTCCTCTTAGAAAAGTTTCTTTGCTTAGTTTTAACTGACTTTACCCTTGGGGCCACTCCTCACTTTCCTCTACCTCTTCGGGGTTACATAAGGGAAAAATGGAAGTTAAATGCCAGAGGTTTGTCCATCCCATGGCCAATTTAATGTAGCTATTTAGAAATCTATAATGTCATAGAATAATATAGTCTATTTTCTTCCTCCTCCTCTTCTTCTTCTTCTCCTCCTCCTCCTCTTCTCCTTCTCTTCTTTTCCTTCTCCTCCTCCCCCCCTCCTCCTCGTGTGTGTGTGTGTGTGTGTGTGTGTGTGTGTGTGTGTGTGTGGCTTGAACTCAGGCCTGGGTACTGTCCCTGAGCTTCTTTTGCTTTCTACTTGAGCCATAGCACCACTTCCAGCTTTTTCTGTGTATGTGGTACTGAGGAATTGAACCTGGAGCTTTATGCATTCTAGGCAAGCACTCTACCACTAAGCCACATTCCCAGTCCTTATGCTCCATTTTCTATCAAGGATATTACAGAAAGATGCCCAAGTGGATCACGGCATCACCCACCCCACCAACCCCCAGGCCAGCAGCTCCCTCCACGTGACTCTCCACCTCTTCAGCCGTGCCATGCATGCCCGAGTTAATATTTTCCCTGCCAGGATTAAACCTCTCTTCACTCCGGAGTTACTGTAATGTAGTGGTTTACTTTATGGAATCCCAACCATACATACCTAAAGTTAACAAAGTTTTGTGGTGGCAACTTCTGACATGTTCTCCATAAATCTTGAAGTTTTTTGTCTGGATCCTGTATGCTGAGAAAAAAAAATTATGTGTAAAAATTCATTAGACCACCTATTACTGATAGATGTACTAATATGTGGCTGTAATCTGGATATGAAATGTCACCCCCTGGCCCTTTTGTTGAAGGCTTGGACCTCAGCCTGAGGTGCTCTCTGAGCTGGTGGAACCTTTGGGAATAAGTCAGGGCCATGGCCTGGAAGGGGTTCTGGGACCTTGGCCCTTCTTGTTTTGCTCTTTGCTTCTCAGCTAGCATGAAGCCGACAGGCCTCCTCTCCCATTAGCCCTGCCACGATGCGTTGTGCCCAGTGTCATCATGGACCGACATCCTTGAAATTGTGAACCAACACAACCTTTCCTTCTTTACGTTGATTATCTCAGTCAAAGCGATGCAGAGCTACCTAAAAATATATGCTCTATTAACCGTGAGGCCTGTGTTGTTATTTACCACAGCTGGCAGACAGCACAAACTTGGGAAACAGACAGGTTTGTAGTAAAATATCAACTACATCACTGTTTGACTTGGAGCAAGATCTTGAACTAACAAGACTCAATCATTCCACTTGTGAGCTCGGGGGCAGAGCCACGCAAAACCACGCGGCCCAACACACATGGCACAAGGAGACAGAGCTCCACAGAGGGTTCAGTCTACAAAACATGCATGCTAATGGGGCTCTGGAGCCTGGATTTCCTTATACCAAAGAGAGCCCCGCCACAGATCAGCTGCCAAGCTCAAGGTGCTCGGACTTCTGGTCAGTCTTTCCCACTCTCAAGGCTGCTTAAAGTCTCCAGGCCCAGAGGCCCATTCTGCTGTAGAGCCCTGGCCACAAAGTAAACTGCAAGGCACAAATGTTCAGAGATGCAGAAGAGGGACACAGCAGGGTTTATGGGGCAGTCAGCTCTGCCCACTAGGAAGGACAGTGCTAGAAGGTATCCTGGTGATATCTATACAACAGAAGTGAAGATATATCTACAGGGCTGGGAAGGTGGCTTAGTGGTAGAGTGCTTGCCTCGCATACATGAAATCTTGGGTTCAATTCCTCAGCACCTCATACACAGAAAAAGCTGGAAGAGGCATCATAGCTCAAGTGGTAAGAGTGTTAGCCTTGAGCAAAAGAAGCTCAGGGATGGGGCTGGGAAGGTGGCACAGCGGCAGAGCACTTGCCTTGCATGTATGAGGCCCTGGGTTCGATTCTTCAGCACCACATAAGCAAAAAGCCGGAAGTTGCGCTGTGGCTCAAGTGGTAGAGCGCTAGCCTTGAGCTGAAGAGCTGAGGGACAGCGCCCAGGCCCAGAGTTCAGGCCCCACAACCGGACCCCCCCCCAAAAAAAAGAAGCTCAGGGACAGTGCCTAGGCCCTGAGTTCAAGTCCCATGATTGGCAAAAAAAAAAAGAAAAGAAAAGAAAAAGAAAATATATCTACATGTTACATGTTAAGAGATCAGCCCATATGTCACCCATACAGTGGAGGTCTATGCTGACATTTCTCAACTATGAAATAATACACTGACAGACAGATGCCTAAGAGGTGATTTCCTCTCAGAAAAATTGAGCTCAGGAAGGGACAAGGAAACCACCCAATAAAAGAAAGGCTACAACTCGCCTACCTGCAAGTGATGGTTGGGTTCGTTTAACACAGTCACAGGCTAGGCCCTAACTGGGTTCTTAGGGTGGAATAAAGACTACAAACGTGGCTCTGAACTTAAAAACCTCACCTATAAGGGAGAAAGCACGATTCCGCAAGCATCTGGGAAAAGCAATATGGGATGATGTGTAAGTGACAAGAAAAAATGGCTCAGGGGCCATCAAATCACGGCCTGTGTGATGGGCAGATGGGGACAGGGGAGAGGAGGGGAGTATCAGAGGTAATGATTTAGGGACCTGGGAGAGAAGACAGGTCAGAACAATGACACTGGCCGGCTGACCAAGAAACTCCAACAATTTTCTATGAAAGACTTGTCCTGCTTAAAACCAACTCTTCCTTGATAGAGTTAAGCCTGGGGAGGGTGAGGGGTGGCAGGGTGGGGTGGGGGGAGAAAGGGCCAGAGAATGGGCAGACAGAGGTGGGTGCCCGTTATTGCCCTGGCCTCAACCCTACTCCTCCCCAAGCTCCCCCCCATTGCCTCATCTGTGAGAACAGTAACATCAGCCTCTTACAACACTAAGGATTTGCAAGCGGCCTGACAGGCATATAGCAGTAGGACCCTTGTCCAGCTACAGGGCTTTCTTCAACATAAAGAGCATTTGCGATGGGCCAGTTCATTAGTGAGGGTGCCATTATGCATCTTCAATCAGATAAGTCACGTATGTTTAACCCAAGGCATAACTTGGAAGCTTCCCATACTAATATTAATACCTGAGATTTTCATTCTCAATGTAACTAGATCTGGGACACGTGCTATTTTCATGTTAATTATACAGTCTGAGGATAAAAATGACTTGCAAATGGGGCACAGTATTTTACCCTCCTTTTGGGTGCCAGTACTGGGGCTTGAACTGGAGCCTGGGTGCTGTCCTTTAGCTTTCTTGCTCAGGGCTGGCACTCTACCACTTGAGCCACAGCTCCACTTCCCCTATCCTGTCTCTTTACTTTTAAAGCTGTGTTCTTTAAACTCACCTTGCAACTTGTGTCCATTCCTCGTAGAGATGAAAAGTCATCAAGGGTTCAGGCAATTCTCGCAAGTAGGACTTCAAAGCACCTGCAACCATTAACACCTTGGCTATGAAATGGAGGTGCCTGGAGATCTTGGGAGCGCATGTTTTGGCAAACTGACATTATCTCAGTCACAATCTTCTGAGTTATACAGAACAAACCATACTTTGGCAGGAGGAGTGGTTAGAGAATGAAGTTATGTTTAAATTCTCTTAACAGACCTGGTCTGTGGGGAGGAGAAGAGGGAAGAAGTATGTTTCCAACAATGGTGTTATGAGCTATCTTCACCTTTACTCAGTAAGGGGAAAGAGGGAGGAAATAAACTTAGATAAAGATAATAAGAAGGTAGGTGTGTGTGTGTGTGTGTGTGTGTGTGTGTGTACACTCCATTACAAAGGGAGTTTTTGGTATGTGTGTGTCAGTCCTGGGGCTTGAACTCAGGGCCTGGGCGCTGTCCCTGACTTGCTTCAACTCAAGGCCAGCGCTCTACCACTTGAGCCACAGCACCACTTCTGGGTTTTTCCTGAGTAGTTTATTGGAGATGAGAGTCTTATAGGCTGGCTTTGCATAGGGAATTTTATTCGGAGTTTCATTTTGACAAATGAAACTATATTTTTTTAACAGATGATCTGCCCAAGTTAGGACTTGCTCAGACTTTGAGGGCAGCTTGACTTTGTTTTCTGTTGTTGCTATTTGTTTTTTTTTTTTTTGTCAGTAGTGAGGCTTGAACTCAGGACCTTAGCACTTAGCTTTTCCACTCATCTCAGCTTTCCGAGTAGCAGCTTGACTTGAGGGACTCATTGGAGCTCACCTGCTACGGCGTGGGGGTCTGAATAGAACTCATCCAGGTGAGAAGTAGAACAGTCTAAAGCAGCTTTCAGCTTCTTTAACTTGGAGGCTCCGGCTCCAATTCGGAAAAGGCCCTGAAGACAACGAAAAGCCATCAGTGTCAAGTGTAGGTTGCGAGTCTCCTACCAAGAGGCTGCGGGTTCTCATGGAACTTCAGCTCGCCTCCATCCGCGAGGACAGTCAGCCAGTCAGTCTGTCTGTCTGCCTGCTGGCCAGCTGGCCAGCCAGCCTGCCTCACAGGGCTGCCCAAGAAATAGGGAGACCTATGTATTCACCTAGATTGCCTGGTTGGGCAGAAAGCAGCCCATTCACGTTGGTTTTTGTTATTTTGAGACAAGGACTCATTGTGTAGCCCAAAGTGGTCTCAAATTCTAAATCCTGCCTCAACCGCTCTAGAGCTAGGATTACAAGGTAAGCCACCATGCTAGAAGTCTGTTTTTAATGCAAGCTCTCAATCTGTCTCTGTTGAAAAGGCCTTTTTTTTTACTTCCACAAAAGGTTTATATTTCCAACACTGACTGCTATAGATTCTCTAAATTTAGGATTTAAAAAATATTAGCATTGGGCGCAGAAATAGAGGGAAGGGTGAACAAATGCAGTCATGGTAACCAATAGACACTATGTAGAAGATGAACTATGCAGTCCTGTGGGCAGGGATGGGATGGGGGAAACTGGGGAAAACTAAAGCAAGGGGTGACAATGTCCAAAAAAATAAATGCACTTACTGCCTGAATTATGAAATGGTAACCCCTCTGTACAACACCTTAGTAGTAACAGTAAAATCACCTCAAAAAATTACTATCTCAAGGCTAGCCATAATGGCTCATACCAGTAATCCTAGCACTCAGGAGGCTGAGGAAGAAAAATCCCGAGTTTGAGGCCAGCCTGGGCTACATATTGAGAATCTGTCTCACACTCACATACAAAAATGTTGACATCTTAAGAAAAAATGTGTTAGACCAGGCTGCTAGTCACCCCTGCCCAAATGACACTAAGAAAATGGAGGGAAAAAAAACAATACACGAAGTATCAACCAAGACAGGCAGGAGTAGGGACACTGGACCAGGAGTTAAAAGACTTGAGTTTCAAGCAAACTGATATGGGCAGGGTTTCAGGACCTGGACACTCCTGACACTTCAGTCTGGGTGATTCTTCACTGGAGGAAGTGGAGGTAGGGGAGGGAGCGCCCTGTGCATTGTGGGCTGTTTAACAGCATCCTCGATTTTTAGTCTTCGATACTATGGCCAACCAAATTACTAGGATCAAAATGTCTCAACAGTTTGCCAAACACCAGTGGGGAAGCGGAAGTGGCTCCTGATGAAAAGCATCAACCATGACTTATCAGCAAGTGGAGCAGTCCTGGACCTGGTGTGGTTGGATGGGTGAGTTTTTGCCTGTGTAATTCCTTAAAGCTGTTCACACTGCAATACACACACTTTTCTGTATGCATGTTACATAAAACTTTCATATAAAGTTTTTTAGCCGGGCACTGGTGGCCCATGCCTTTAATCCTAGGTACTCAGGAGGCTGAGATCTGAGGATCCTGGTTTGAAGCCAGCTCAGGCTGGCTGTGGGACTCCAATTAACTGCTCAAAAAGCCGAAGTGGTGCAGTGGCTCAAGTGGAACAGTACTAGCCCTGAGCAAAAGAGCTCAGGGACAGGGCCCGGGCCCTGAGTTCAAGCCCCATAACGGACCAAAAAGAAAAACTAAAGTTTTTTTTAAAGGAAAAAAAAAAAGACATTATTCTATCGAGCTCTGTGCCAGTGTGACCTCTCTGTATGTTGACTTATCTAAACGAGAAGAAATGAACAGGAACTGCCCTGCCTGGCTCTCTGGTAGGGATCCTATAAAAGAAATGCATAAATGCATTCCAACATCAATTGCATCGTATCACACAGGTGCAAGATTCTTGCTGTCAATAGTTACTAAGGGGGCTGGGAAGGTGGCTCAGTGGTAGAGCGCTTGCCTTGCATGCCTGAGGCCCTGGGCTCGAGTCCTCAGCACCACGTAAGCAAAAAGAAAAAAAGCTGGAAGTGGCACTGTGGCTCAAGTGGTAGAGCGCTAGCCTTGAGCTGAAGAGCTGAGGGACAGTGCTCAGGCCCAGAGTTCAGGCCCCACGACAGGACCAAAAAAAAAAAAGTTATTAAAACCTAGAGCTCCTGGAAGCTCTGGTCTGTTACAACATCATGAAATCCACCGTCCCACATCATGAACAGCTTAACATCCAACGATCAGATGGAACACAAAAGATCGGAACACGCTTCATTCAGGCGAGTTCACCTGGTCCTGTGAGACACAGAAGAGTATGGTGTGCAAGGTGGGTCTCAATTTGAAAGTTTGAAAGCTGTAGGTCCACACAATGCCCACAGTGGCTATGTAATAAAGACAGGGTGGATGGTGTATGTGTGGGGAGGGGGGGATGCGCGCATGGTGCCCTGGGAGAGGAAGGGCTGCCTCACCTCCTCCTTCATGCCCGTCTCCAGGAGCAGCATGACACACGCCTCTATGGGGAGCGCGATCTCGCGCCCGCTGCGCTTCAGGTGCTCTTCCAGAGGGGTCCCGAAGGCGGGCTTCTCCGCCCACTTATCTAGAGCAGTGAACAGCCTGTAAGACACCCCCACAACCTCACGCATCCCCACGCTGTTTTCTCCCCAACCACCGAAGGAGGTGTTCTAAACGCTGGCAGCCGAGGCTCTGGGAGGAGCCAGCGCCTGTGCCGTGTGCGGCTGTGGCTAGCGTGTGTGGGAGCGCGGCCCCGCGCTGCCTGCCTTCAACACGTGTTAGGTAGGCTGGCGGCCTGGTGTGGGAACACAGGGTGCGTCTGAGCGTCCTTTCCTCGTGGAAAGCCATGTCGCCGAGCCATGCACGGCAGCACGGGACGGGCCTTCTAGTGACAGGATGAGAAAGAGCTTCCTCACATGGAGATGGAACCATTGTCCCACGTCTGTGGCCCAGGACCGGAGATGGTCGAGGGGAACGTGGGCCAGGTGCAGTGCCTCTGAGACAATCTGTTGCCAAACAGATTCGGAGTCAAAACACAATGAAGCGTCATCAGCTCCCCAGGAACGCAGCCTGGGATGAAAGCAGTAGTGTGGGATTTTATTTAACCCTGCTCCCTTCCACCACGGGGCTGGTGCAGCTCGGCAGAAATACACACAGTGGGGCAATCAGATAAGAAAGCCACGTTTTGAACTTGGACCTAGGGTCTTCGAATGGGAAGTCCTGGCTGGATCGGGCCTGCATGTGGGATCGGGGCACACGGAAGCTCAAGGGAAATGAGCTGGTGGTTCTGCCCACCAACTGGGCTTACGCTCGTCCTCTGCTAGAACTTTCTGGAAACACTCCACAGAGTGTGCTGCCCTCTGCCTTCATGTAATGCTGGCAGGGGTGGGAATGAAAACCTCCATCCCAGACACATTCCGAAGGGCAGACTCCAGTTTCTCAAATGAACAGCGTACTATGTGCCTGGCACTGCAGGAGGGACCAAGTGCACAGAGACACTCCACCTTCAGGATGAGAGCAATTGGATCACGAAGGAAACACAGGACATACACGTACACGTGACAGCCACAAGACAAGACACGTTTGCTATGTCATGGCAGATCGATGGTATACACAAGGGTCACAAAACAGCTGTCTGCATGGCCAGTGGTGACTGGGGCAGAGGCCAGGCTGGGGAGCCCCCCGGAAGCAGCCAGATCAACATGTCTTGGGGGGCGGGGAAACACCCTAAGTGCCACCAGACCTTTTAAACATTTAAAAGAAGGCAGAATGGGGATTGGTACATGAAGTGTCTTGATTCAAAATGACAGCAACTAATTAAGAAAATGTGTAGTGAACGGCAGCTGTTTGCAACCTCTGGTGTCGACCATCAATGCAAGGGTGATTTGGGAGACAGTGTTCACACAGCCCCAGCAGTGAGAGAGACGAGAATCGACAGGCTAAGAAGCAGATAAGCACATCTGGTGGAGAGCGACAAGCGGTGAGTCTGGACACTTGAGTTTTATCCCAGAGCTCGGGCACCAGGCTATGACAGCACAGCAGTAGAGGGGCCAGGAGGGATGGGGGGAAAGGCAGGCACAGGGCAGAATGAACAGAACCCGGTGGCCATGTGAGAGAGGAAGGGAAGAGATCACAGGCTTTCAGGCCTGGTGGTTTCAAGGGGACCAAGAAGGAAGGCCAGGGCGAGTGCACAGACCACTGAGCGGAAGACGAGGGCAGCATTCAAGAGAACCGATGCTTCAGCTGCAGGTGAGAGGGAATTTCTAGGGAAGGGGTAAAGGGAGGGAGGAAGAGAGGATCCTAGGGATGAGGACACAACTCAGAAAAGGGGGTGAGGTAGGGGCAGAACTGTAGAAATGTGAGACCTACAAATGAGAGATGATGATCAAGTGAAGCAGGAGAAAGTTTCGCCAGGGAAGAGATGGCCCAGCTGTGCCAGACACCAGGAATGCCCAGTGTTTGGGCATTCAAACTTCCTTTTTAAACAGCAGAGTGGAGGGGGGGGGGAAGCCAGATTGAAAAATTAAGAGGCAGGAGAGAAGGTAGAAAGGAGTCTCTAAGAGCCTGGCAGAAGAAAAGGAGATCGAGTAAAAGGCACTGAGTTTGGGACATGTGGAGATTGAAAGGCCAGCAGCTGGTCAAATGTCCATTAGAAGGTCCAGGACATGAGAACCACAGGGTCAGATTATAGCAAGGACTTGTTGAGTCTTTCTGAAGACAGAAGACAGGACTAGAGGGAGAAGACTAAGAGGAGACGGGAGGGGAGAGGAAGGGGTATATTTTACACAGGAGGAGATGGCCGTCCTCCCCTGCTGTGCCCCCTACAGGCCAGTTTTCCACAGTTCACCCTAATCCCCCCAGCCCTGCTCCCCATTCTCCTGCATTTCTTCAAGGAAAACGACAGAACCAGCTGCCTGGGAAGCCATCCTTCCCTGATTGGTGGATGGGGAACTTCCCAATTAGACTTCAGCCACTCAAAAGCTACAACATTGATGTCCATCCTTCTGCTCCACGCAGCACCCAGCACACAGTGGCTACCTCAGAAACCCAAGTTCTCAATTCTGTATGTCTGCTGCTCAACACCATTGCTATACACTGGGAAACGATGTTTTTTAGAACCAAGAGAAGCTCATCCTATGAAGAATGGCCAAGTAATGAGGTGCATTACAGCTGAGATTATTCAGGGCCAGTCAAAACAGAGAATCTTATTCCATCATCCAAAAGCTTTCAGGCACAAGGCTAAAAACTGTTGGGACTTCCTGAAGTTCAAGGGGCCAGTGCACATGCGCATCCACAGAACCTTCCACTGTCACCCATACTGCACAATCAGATGGTCGCTACATTCAATGGCTGGCCTGATCTCTGCGGTTCAAACCCGTGGCTCTGCAGGGTGAACTTAAACTCCAAATGTCAGGTCTACACTGCAAGCAAAAGGCAGCTGGCTCTCCACATTCAGCCAGCTGTGGACTGAAAATACCAAGCAACGAAACTGCTCTCTCCTGAATATGGAGAAACTTTGCTGTTTTGTCGTTATTCTCTAAACCCTACAATGGAACTACTATTTACACAGCATTTACACTGCACTCTACAGTATAATAATCTAGAGATGACAAAGTACACAGAAGAATATGGGCAGGTTATATGCAGATGAGGCCACTCCCCCTCAGACACTGAGGGACAAATGCGACAGACTTGAAGATGACAGAGCACCTCCTGCTCATTTCTGCTGGTGAGCACTGATGGCAAATCTCACAGAAGGAGAGGCAAACAAAACAAAATCGACAAGCAAACCAATAGGTGTACATATCCCACTTAAAAGTAAACATCAAGGGAAGGTTCAATCCATTTGTGGAATAGAATCTGCAACGTGCTTGAATATGGTGGGTAAAATATCAGTACTGATAAGAACAAAAGCCTTGTGTCGACAAAGGAGTCCAAAATGGGGGCCGTGGTCTATGACTCCATCAACACTCATGTGTGGAGTCAAGTACAAAAGTTCTCTCCTGGAAAGCTGAACTTCTTCCCCGCCCCCAGACTGATGGCCACTCTTGGAGACACAGGGCCAGAACTGAGCCCTGCAGAACCAGCAGTTGGCTTGGAAAAGTGACTGGATGCTCCAACTTTTCAAGCTTGTAGGAGGACAGACAGACCTACACACCCCCTGAGTTATCTCTTCGAGGGAAGGTTTGAAAGAACTGCAAAGTGTTCCGTTAGTGTGTTAATTTGGGTTTGGAAGACATTAGAGGATGCAGCAAGGAAGATGGACGGGTGCTGGGAGCAGCACCTGGCTTGGCAGAGAGCCTCCACCCAGAGGAAATGCATGCAGAGAAGAAGAGAGGCAGAGGGGCAGCGGCAAGAAAGGCGTCAGCCAGCACGCAGGTTACGTTACCTTGATGGGCTCGCATTTCGGGAAGGGCCTTTTCTAAGACTGCTAATGCTTTTCTATGGTAATCTGCTTGTGCTTCTAATAACTGAGAACAGACCCACATTCAAAAACAAAAGTAACGTTAGCGTCGGATGCACACACACACAGTGGCTGAGCAAAACTCAAAAAAAATGAACTCAGTTTGCAAATAAACTAAAAAGGACTCGATTTTTACAATGGGCTAAGATTTTTCTCAAGGGCCGGCGCTTACCGTAACGAAAAATTTTCCGTACTCCCCTTCTCTGGCCATGAAGTTGTACATGTCTGCCGCGAGCTGATCCTGGGTAAGCAGAAGAAACACAGCATGAGAAAGATGAACGGAAGCATGGTCTGAGGTGATCTGTGAGGCCTCACACAGAAAAGTGATGGAAGAAGCCACAGATTAAATGTTCACTAAACCACTGCTGCCACCATACCGGGGTACAACAAAAAGAGTAAGCATCTTATGTCTTGACATGGGAACCATTTCCAAAGTATGTTTCTCAATTCCTTGCCAGGAAGCAAGATTATGTATGGGGAACTACTTATAGTAGATTACCACTTGATTTAAACAAAAAAAAAAAAAGGAGAAAAATGTCCTCTTTTGACTGCCATTAAATGTGTGGGTATGCACGGGCATGTTTCTGGAATTAAAGACATTAGGAAGAGCAATTTTCTATCAAGTACAGAAGAAATTAGATAGAAGGAAGAGAATGGTGGAAGACTTAATGTCTAATTTTATTCTTTTTAATATCTAAAGAAATCATTCATGTAAAAACTTGGTAACTTAAGGAAGGACAGATTAGGCAAATGGGTGTATATGTATTTTTTTCAATTTTTGTATATATGTGTGTGCATATATTGTTCTTATACATATACAGAAAAATTTACATTTATTGGAAAATACACATATATAAACTTCTTTTGCGTTTAAAATATATATTGCTTTCTGTTTTGGACATCAAGGTACATAAATTAATGTGAAGACTATCCCATTTATGATAAACCTGGAAATGCTAGTTATGAAGAATAAATACATTTATAAAATAACTGGCAAAACAAGAAAGTAAATTTCCTGAATCTCCAGCCTGCCTCAAAAAAAAAAAAAAAGATAAAAGGAAAAGAAACAAGATAAAAGGAAAAGAAACAAAGACTCACAATGTTGTGCGTGAATGGAAGCTAGGGATGGAATAACCAGGTAGACTTGTACCAGCATGGTAGCCAACATGGCTGAGTCTGGCATTCGTGAGGACTCAGACCAGAAAGGGAGGCCTCGGGCTAGCATGGCAGGGAGGTAGTACAGGCACGTTGCGCACAAAGATGCAAGTCCTGGAGACCTAGACCCTTCATACGGGAAGTGCTGACACAGTCACGCGTCGGCAGACGATGGTCGCTGCGATGACTAGCCGTCTCATACCTTGCACTGCTCGACTTTATTTCCAGCTTCATCCATCTCTTCCTTGAGGGTATCTATTTTTGATGGAAGCCCCTGAAAGTTGGCTCCTGAAGACTTGTGAGCTTGGTTCCACCTGCACAAACAAAGGGGCAGCCAGTCTGACACGGCTGTGCATCTTCAACGGCACGGGGTGGGGGCAGGCCCCTCCCCAGAACAGATACTGCTCGTGACGGGTATCAGAACCCAGGATGGCTGCTTCTCTTTGACTTTATCCTCTAAGAGGAGATGTGAGTGTTCCACCATGACAGGACCCTCCCCGTGCTGTGGGTATCTGCTCTGAGTGCCATCAGACACAGCCTGTCTCATACAAACCGTGCTGCTGAAGCAGCTGTGCAGTGCTCAGCACAGAATCCTTGCCAACACAGCACCCCTTTGCTGCCCGGTGCCTCTGGAAACCAGCTCCTGCTCCTGAGCACTGCCTAGGATGTATCTTCCTGCCACCTGTGACTTGTGACTAGTTTCAGCCATGCAGACCTCATTTTCAAGTGCTTTGAGCTTGTTTGTGTTCGGCACTGTCTGGTTCTGTGGAAAGCTAAACACAAAACCAAGGCTAGCATGCTACTACCTCTTACTGCACTGCCCTATTACTATTACACTGCCCTAAACATTGTGTGCTGCCCACTTCACATTTCTGAAAAGGCACAGACAGCAGCAGGTCATCCTAAGCAACAAACCAGTGCTGCACTCCCTGAAAAGCCACACTCTAGTGTGAAGAGCGGCTCAACCTAACCTACCCTGTTAGCAACTTGGCCTGCCTGTGGCTCAGGGCCCACCTGTGAAACTGAGATGACCAACACTGATCCCCGTGCAGAATGACACAGGGAGTCAGAGCGAGAACAAAGATGAATGTGTGTGTGCGTATGCACATACTGGATTCCTACCTAACATCCCTGCAGGGCGGCGCGGGAAGAGGTAACGAAGAACGGCCAGCTGTTCCGTTTCTCTAATACCTACTTGAGTTAATTCAGTGAGTAAGCCCCGTGAATAGCAGATGGAGAATCTGTAAGTCTTCTAGGGGGTACGTGTACTTGAAATGAGTTAACTCCTGGCAGATAAATCTCTGTAATGTTGTTCAATCAGCTCCAGGGAGGGACACTGACAGTCTTGTTAAACCAGTCGAATGTTCTTCCTTGTTTGAGAAAACAATTGTCCATTGGGGAGAGAAGGACAGACAGGCTGTGCTGGGGAGCAGGTAAAACAGGGAGGAGCGGGGAAGAAGGTGAGTACAGAGGAACTACTTTATATGTATGTATGAGGGTAAAATAATGAAGCCTGCGAAAACTATTTTAAGAATGAGGGAAAGAGATGAAGAAGCAGTAGAGGGAGGGAGGGCGGATGGAGTACCTTATATGCATATATGGAGATGTCACAACTGAGGCCCTTTGTAATATGTGTAACAGATTAGCATACATGAATATATTTAGCGTACAGGAGCACATGTATTATGTAACTTTTTTTTTTTTTTCTGGGTGCTAGCCTAGGTGCTGTCCCTGAATTTCACTTGAGCCCACAGCTCTGCTTCTGGCTTTTTAGTGGTTCACTGGAGATGAGTGTCTCATCAACTTTCCTGCCCAGGCTGGCTTCGAATTGTAAGCTTCAGATTTCAGCCTCCTGAGTAGGCAAGGATGACAGGTGTGGGTCACCATGCCCAGTGCTAATAAATAATGTTAATTTTAAAATGTTATGTCAGGGTGGCCTGCACTCCCGTCCTGTCACACAGGATTCTGGTCACCTGTGTACAGGTGATATGGAGATAGCAGACACTGTGTCCCAATTCTAGCTTCGCCATTTATTATTTCTAAGGCCTGGTGTGGAGCAAGTCACGTGGGCTGGAAAGGCAGGCAGCTCCCTTATGTGGGGAAAGAAGTTCCCTCTCTCACTGGTGTTGGGGGCCTCTGCACAAAGCCTGACAGGGCCCGGGACTGTTAAAAATAGAGGAGCAAAAGAACGGGGTCTGGTGGGAGAACCCAATAGGCTGATATCTGGAGTTTGGAGATCAATACCTGGCAAGCAGCAAGTGTCCAGCAAGCCACACTCTTGCTTGGTAACTGTGCTATGCATGAATGCCTAGGATCTTTACGTTCGATGGCCTGGGGCTGCTTCTTCCCCCAGATAAAGCGGATGTTAGTTAAGCCAGCAGTATCCCCGATACTCAATCCAGCCCTGTGGAGGGCCACTTTCTAAGGGTACCATTGGTGCAGCTGACACACAGAACTCATACCTGCTTTGCTGTGCGCTGCACAGACTTGCAGTGAGGACTGGCAGGTGTGACGGGGTCAGCAAGGCCTCCCGTTTCGATAAGGAGAGTCTGGCTGGTGGACAACCCCGCTCCTGCACTTATGCACTATTCTGCATATGTCTGCGGTGCTGGTGATGAAGCCGGCACCTTGTGCACTGTGGGCAACTGTGTGTGTGTGTGTGCGCGCGTGTGCATGTGTGTGTGTGTGTGTGTGTGTACACTGGTCTGGGGCCTGAACACAGGGCTTGGGTGCTGTCCATCAGCTTTTTTGCTTAAGGCTAGTATTTTACCCCTTAAGCTGTAACTCCGCTTTTGGGAAGGTAACTGGAAGTACTTTCCTGCCTGGGAGGCTGGCTTTGAACTCCTGCAATCTTCAGATCTCAGCCCCCTGAGTAGCCAGGATTCCTGGCATGAGCCACTAGCACCCAGTTAGTTTTCCTTATTTTTGAGTTCTCCTTGCTCACAGAGGACAGGGTAGTCTAATAAGACCCCCACTGCCATGATCGGGAGAGGATGTGGCCTGAAGGATGTGGCCAGAGGAGCAATGTGTGACTTTGTGACGATTTCCACTCTGCCTGTTCAGCAGTGGGTGGTGATGGCTCGTCACTGTCTCTGCAGCTTTATCTTACCTGGCTCTCACCGAGTCCCAGTCCAGCACCAGTTTTGCGAGCTGCTTTCTCTGTTTCTGGATGTTGGGAATCTCGACCTGAAAGGAAGAACACACTAAATGGGATGTGCACTGGGGGTTGAACGGGATGCACTTTGGCGTTTTTAGCCGAAGACCTCAAAGAGCACATGGTTTGTTTAAAATGGCTTCTCTCTTAAGGAAAAAAAAAATTTCAATTTTCAATTTACTCCTTTTTATTTCTGAGAAGCATGTATTCAAATCACTGTAGGCACAAGTGAAACATTCTCCATCCAGCCTAAGCCAGTCGATTCTTCTGTGCACACAGCGCAGACACCTACCTCTGCAATGCCGTACAGAGGATCCACGATCTCTTTTTCAACAAAAACTTCATGCTGGGAGAGCTCAAGGGCCAGCTGATTCTCCGCATCTCCACACGTCTCCAGCATCTTCCTTCAAAAACGAGATAACCAACAACAAGCGTGTGCTATTACATCAGGCAATAATCATTGCAGTTCTGATTGCGCATAGCAGAGCACTGCCCAGCAAAGCCTTTACAAACCACACATGAGCCGGGTGCTGGTGGCTCACACCTGTAACTCTAGCTACTCAGGAGATCTGAGGATCACAGTTGCAAGCCACCCTAGCCAGGAAAAGTCTGTGAGACTCTTCTCTCTAATTAAACAGTTAAAAAGCTAGAAGTGGAGCTGTGGCTCAAGTTGTAGAGTGCTAACCTTGAGCACAAAAGCTCAGGGATAGTGCCCAACCCCAAGTTCAAGTCCCAGGACCAGCTAAAAACAAAACCAAAAACACATACAACACAAGCTAGGCACCAGTGCCTCATGTCTGTAATCTTAGCTACTCAGAAGACTGGAATCTGAGGATCAAAGTTTGAAGCCAGCCCAAGTAGGAATGTCCATCAAACTCCAGAAGCAGAGGTGTGGCTTAAGTGGTAGAACACCAGCCATGAGCGAAAAAGCTAAGGGACAGCATCCAGATCCTGAGCTCAAACCCAATGTGCATGTGTGTGCGTGGACACTCCCCCCCCCCACCCCACACACGTGTAGGTTAGCACTTAACACTAAAGTCCAGTGCATGAGATGGCCGCATTCATAATTCCAAAACTGGGGAGGCCAGGCCACAAAGATCACCTCTTTGAGACCAGTCTGAGCTCCACACACACAAATAAACAAACAGGAAGTGAGTTGTGTTTTAGAAGGAAGCGGACTGGGCTGGGGATGTGGCTCAGTGAGCACTTGCCTGGCATGCGTGAAGGCTGGGGTTCAATCCAAGGAAGGGAGGGGCACTCAGTACAGGGAGGACAGGAAGGGGGAGAGGATGGGTGGGCCAGGGAGGGAGGGAGAGTACTATTTCCAGTGTAAGTGTGAGATGAGAGGGGTATAGTGTTCACAACCTACTCAAGAATTAGGGACTCAAGTCAGAAGACAATTAAGGACCCTGGCGGCCTAACGTGCACGTGTGCAGTTGACGGGCTGGCTAACACTGGAGGCTGGCAAACATCACATCTGTGAACACGCTGCTGACCTCACACATGCGTGTGTGCACACGTGCGCGTGCGTGCACGCAAGCCTGTACTGTCACAATCGCTTTCTCTCTCTTGTCTCCTTGTCACCCTGTCCCTCTAGAACGTGGCATGGGGTGAGGCAGCCGTAGTGGCATGGTGGATCTGAGTTTTGAGTACAAGCTTTGCTATATCATAGCTGTGTGGTCTCAGGCAACTGCCTTATCCTCTCTGTTTGCCAATGTCCTCCTCTCTAAAAATGGGAGCATCCGTGTTACCTACCTCCTCCACTGTTTGGAACAGTGAGCTATACTTGCAGAGTACTCTGCATGGGGCTAGCACACAGCCCCACTCTGGTAAGGCTCACTGAGGCAGCTGGAGAAGCAGTTACAGACACATATCCAGGCTGGAGGGTACAGGGATGCTGGCTGCGGCCACAAGCCCCCTGCTCTGGACAGGGCCAGAGCAGCCAACGTGGGTCAAGAGTAGGAGGAGACCATTCTGTTTACGGAACAAAGGAAGGATTGTGGGGGGAATGGGCAGAGAAGTCTGAAGGTCATGCCCCACTGGGAAGCAGGGCCCCTCTCACAGGGGCAGAGAGCAACAGGACTTGGGGCAGGAGCCTCCTACCCTGAAAACTGCTATCTCCTCAGACTTCTGTATTACTTCATCAATGCACCCCGCCTGCCGTGGGGGACTGGGGAGCAGAGGGACAGCACAGGAGGATGGGAGGGAGGACTCCGGATGCTGTATAGCCCAGGACACCTGTGCTGGACAACAACTAGTTGGGCATTTCAACATAGCCAGCACGGAAGAAGAGTTTGGAAGATCCCGACATCGCAATGATGGGTATTTGAGGGGCTAGACTGGTCAGCTGCTCCGGGAGGATGGTAATTGTCACATGTCCCCTACCAATGCATACAACTCTTTACTCTGTGTCAATTAAAAAAGTAAACCACATATAAAATTTTAAGTCAACTCAGGTGCTAAAGGCTCACAACTGCTACTCAAGAGGCTGAGATCTAAGGTTCCTATTTCAAAGCTGGGCAGGAAAGTCTGTGAGGCTATTTCTAGTTACAGACCCCAAATCGGGAAGTAGAGCTGTGACTCAAGTGATAGAGTGCTAGCCTTGAACAAAAAAGCTCAGGGACATCATCCACACCCTAAGTTCAAGCCCCAAGATCAGCATGTACACATATGCACATGCGCATGTTCACACACACACAAATAAATTTAAGTTACAACAACAAGGATGGTCAGGTTTGGTGTTACATGCTTGTAATCCCAGCTACTCTAGAAGATAAGAGGATTCTGGTCCCAGGCCAGCCTAAGTAAAAGCTAATAAGATGCTATCTGAAAAACAAGCTGTTACCAAAGGACTTGCCTATGCCTGTAATCCCAGCTAACTCGGGAGGTGGAGGTGGGAAGATCACCTTCCAGGCAAAACTGTCAGACATCATCTGAAAACTAAAACTGGAAATGAAACTAAAACTGGGGGCATGGCTTAAGTCATAGAGCACTTGCTCAGGAAGCTTGAAGCCCAGAGTTCAATCCCTTGAACTGCCAAAAGAAACAAACCACAAAAATCCAAGTAATTTCAAATAATTTAGAAAAATACACTCTCCTTCCCTCCCCCAGGTAACGCTCTTTGGTGGTATTTATGCTTGCCGGGTAAGAGTTCTATCATTTGAGCTGTGCCTCCACCCCACCCCACCCCCATACACTGGTGCTCATTGAGCTAGGGTCTGGCTTTCTGCCTGGACCACAATCCTCTTTTTTTTTTTTTGCTTCCTGATACAGCTGGGATGATAGGCCTAGCCTCTTCTAGCTAAGATGGAATCTCTCAAGCTTTTTTCTACCCGGCCAGGCTGGCTTAGAGCTGCGAGCTTCTCAAGCTCAGCCTCTTCACACAACTAGGATGACAAATACACCACTGTGCCCAGGTATTTGGTTAAAGGGGGACAAGGGTGTCTCACATGTAGCCAGGGTGGCCCTAACCTCAGCTTCCCAAGTAGCTAGGGTCACAGGTGTGAGCCACCAGTGCCTGGCTAGGAAAACACACACACACACACTTGTTTTTGGGGTACAGGTGCTGGGGTTTGAACTCAGGGTATGGGCACTGTCCCTGAACTATTGTGTTCAAGGCTAGTGTTCTACCACTTGAGCCACAGCTCCATGTCTAGCATTTTGATGGTTAATTGGAGGAGTCTCATGGATTGTCCTGCCCAGCTGGCTTCAAACTGTGATCCTCAGATCCTCCAGACTAGCTAGGATTAGAGGCATGAGCCATTGAAACAAGTACTGCTGAATTTTGATGGCTATCTTTTTTTTTTTTCCCTGACCAGTTCTAGGGCTTGAACTCAGGGCCTAGGCACTGTCCCTGAGCTTCTTTTGCTCAAGGCTAGCACTCTACCATCTGAGCCACAGCACTACTTCCAGCCTTTTCTGTTTATGTGGTATTGAGGAATCGAACGCAGGACTTTATTCATGCTGAGCAAGCACTCTACCACTAACCCACATTCCCAGCCCATTGATGGCTATCTTGAAAGAAAGTGACTCCTAATTAGGACTGAGAGGGACAAGCCAAAGTCGCGAATGTGAGCCAACACCAGACACAGGAAAGGTGTGGATGGAACTTCTCCATGTCCAAGCTCAGGGGAATACACACTGACCCTATCAAAATACTATTGTCAGCAGCTCCTTTTAGCCTAGAGTCTACTGGGATCCAGAGACTGAGTCTCGCTTTCTCCCCAGTGTCTCAGCCGCTGTCTGGTACCCGGTCACACCGATGCTGCCCAGGCCACACCATCCCCCCACCTCTTCCCAGACTTGAGGCCTCGGCTCTCCTCTGGGGAAGCAGGACCTTACTTACCCCAGCAGGGACTCCTCCAACTGGGCAGATGCCTCCTGCATGTTCTGAGCCAGGGCTGTGAGAGGGAGCTTTTTCTGGAGGGCAGAACACAGGGTGGGATTCTGTTATTACCTGACCCTGACCTAGATCCTTACCACAGCTGCTCCCTCCCTCTTCATAAACTGCACTGGGAAGAAAAGACTATGGTTCCCCATCACCAGGCTTCCAGGGATGCGCTGAGTGACTTCATTGTTGTGATTCAGTTTGGGGCTCTTGACTAAAGTAGACCTTTGATGTCAGGTGTCTGCACTACAGTTCTATACCTGTGAGTTGCTATGTGGATTGGGCACCCAGGTTGAGAACTACTTGTGTGACATGCCTGGGACCAGAAGTGCTTCAGATTTTGGAGGATTTTTTTTAAACAGGAGTATTTGCATCAAGTTTACTAGTTGAGCATTCCTTTTTTTTTTTTAGTTGAGCATTCTTAATCTAAAAAAAAAAAATCTGAATTAGTCCAAAATCTGAAAGGTTTTTGAGCATCCTGTCAGCACAGAGAAAGGTTCAGATTTAGTGACTGAGTCTGTTAAGACATCCCTGGAATCACAGCCATTCAGGAGATTCACATAGGAGGACTGAGGTCTGAGGCCAGCCTGGGCAAAAGCTCAACTCTATTTGAAAAACAAAATCAAAAGTGCTAGAGGCATGGCTCAATGAAGAGTACCTTGTTGCCTATCAAGCTCCAAGACCTTGAGCTCAGTCCCTAGTACAACGAGTCCTCCCCACCTACCCAAAGAAAGGATGAAGAGAGAAAAGTTCAGATTACACAGCATCTGGACTTCAGAGGGTTTTTGTTGTTTTGTTGTTGTGGGGCTTGAATTCAGGGCCTGGGTGCTATCCCTAAGGCTCTTTGTATTCAAGGCTAGCACTCTACCACGTGAGCCACAGCACCACTTCCAGTTTTTGAGTGGTTCATCGGAGATAAGAATCTCCTGGGGACTTTTCTGCCTGGGCTGGCCTTGAACTGCCATCCTCAGATTTCAGCTTCTTGATGAGCTAGGATTGATTACAGGTGTGAGCTACCACCACTGTGCTTTGGACTTCAGAATTTTGAATTAAGGATACTCAGTCAGTGCTATGTTCTGTGCACAGACCTTGTACAGACTTGCTCTTCTATGCATTCTCAACTTTGACTATGTCATTGTAAAACCTATTCCAAGCAGTAAATAATAAGTGATATTAGATATATTCACCCATTTCCCCTCCCTCTAAGTTATCCATTTATAAATCGTGGTTCTTTCAGCCCCATGAGACCACCGCAGGCCACCCTGCCTCCAGAGTGATGTGAGAGACCCACCCAGATCCTTCAGCTGTGCTGTCTTTCCAAGAGCTAAATGTTAAGAGGTGCAACTGCAGAACTGAATGAATACTGAAAAAAAAATCAGTCTAGGCTGGGTGCTAGTGACTCACACTTGTAATCCCTACTACTCAGTAGGCTGGGATCTGAGGATTGTGGTTCAAAGCCAGCATGAACAACTGAAAGGAGAGCTGTGGCTCAAAGCAGCAGAGCACTAGCCACTGTCAGGGACAGTGCTCAGACCCCATGACTGACCAAAAAAAAACAAAAACCAAAAAACAAATTTCAGTCTCTTTTGATACCTACCATTCAAGATGGCCACTGAAATTAGCCTTGTGTTTTCTGTACCATAGTCTCGTTTCTAGTGCTCATGACTAGGAAACTCTGCAGGGCACAGGGGCTCATTAGTGAGGATGCTGTTTGCCAATGCTCAAGTCCCCAGAGGATCTGGTTTCCCAGGGGTGAGCAGCTTTTCATGAGCCTTGCTTTGTAACAAGCACGTGCACCGCGGAGGACGGTAATTCCGCAGCTCACATGCCTGCGGTGGAGGCTCTGCTCACCTCACCTCTCCCCCCTGCCTGCCTCTTCCAGTGCAGGGGGGTGACTGGAAGGCTGTGTTCTGGAGCCCTGCACACTCCTGGGGCTTTCTCCACATTACTGAGCCCTACGAGAGCCCAGCTGTTCCCGCCGCTGCATGCTGACTCTTCTTTCCCCACAATGCCTGTCAGGCACTTTCTGTGGAGACTGGAAAAGGAAGCTAAGGCATTAGCTCTCACAAGTGAGGGCCAAGGATCTTTGCTCCTGCTGCTTGCACAACTTCTATCACCCACACCAATCGTCTTCCTCCAGCTCAGGCGCTCCTCCTCCAGGAAGCTGCCCCTGACTACTTCCTGCCTGTGGGGCCCACTCTTGGACCGCCCACACCACCTTGAGTATATTTTCTGCAGTGTGTGGTTTTGCAATGATCTGTTCTGTATGTACCACTTCATTCCACTCATTCTAGACTTCTGAAGGTGCTTGATGAACATCTGCTTGCTTTTAGTGAACACAGGTGACAGCTGGGCAGAATTTCAAAGCAGACAACAGGAACATGGGCCCTTCTGGTGAAGGACAGTGACAATCTGGAAGCTGACTATAGAGGGGAAGGGAGGAAGCCAGGGGATAAGGAGACTGATAAGATAAAGTTGGACCTGATTACAGGGGGCTTAAGTCCTGCTAAAGAGAGTGGACTTTATCCTAGGCAATGGGAAACAGCCAGTGTCCCTCAAAAGAGGTGGCCCCCCTGCATTATGGGGCACTTCCTCTGTGGAACTATTTTACCAGGCACTACAGAACATGTAACACCTTGGTTCCCAACGCTCCAAATGCCCACAGTGCTCCCAATGCTATACCGACCCCATCTGTCCCTATACATTTCCAATTGTCCTCAGGGGTGTGACTCCAGGCCCCTGCTAAGAATCACTAAACTAGGATTTGTTCTTGTTTCCTCCGGAAGGAGGATGACTGGACGGATCGGTATTTTAGACAGCTGTCTCTGGTGATCAGGTGGAAGACAATCGGAGTGAGGGGCAGGCAGGAGGAGGCCACAGTCCAAGTAAGAGCAAGGTCAGGTGTGCATTAAGGTGAAGGTGGAAGACAGGGAGCGGAGGTGAGGAATTGCAAAGATATTCACAGACAGAATTGCACCAGGCAGCTATGGGAGGGTGGAAGATAATAAAAAGACACCCCCCCCCCGCCAGCTCCTTGTTTGCACAACAGTGCAAACAGAATGTAAGAGTGTCAACACAGAGGCAAGAGTTGGCTGGGCATGCTAAAAGAGACTGCAAGGGTGGGAACGTTTTGCTTGGTGTCAAGGCCTCAGCTAGGAGCTGCGAGATCAGAGGGGATGGCTCGGAGAACGTGACTTGGGAGAATGAGGAAAGCACATTCTTAAGAGACAATTATACCGAGGGGCAAGCAGACTGAGCAGTCAGGGCCAGGGAATGAGGAACAGCAGAGATGGAATCAGTGCTCAGGGTCTGGTCCTGAAAGGCAGCCCAGAAGCAAGTATTCCTGTGACCCTGGGTGTATGCACACGTGCACTCTGGACTTGCACGACTGCTGTGCAGGGACAACCCTGTGGTCAAAGTGCTTAAGAAGCCTGGCGCAGACATCTGAAGATGAGTTCTTTCCCCCTTGAGCCACCCAGTGATCAACTAAACACGGCAAGCCCTGGCTTCCCAGTGTGCCACTGAAACTGCCACTCTAATGTGGCACATGGGGATGTGAGCACATGCTCATACAGTCATAAGGAGCTTAGAAAAACAAGAACCCAACTGCCTGGTGGTGCAAAGCAGCTGTGTTCTGCTGATGGCCCCTGGGGCCTTTACCAAAGCATGCTGTAGTACAAAATGGATGATCCTGGTCCTCCCAGAATCCAACCTTCCCCTCTCCTATAGTAGCCTGGTTTTCCTTTGGGATCCCTTCTAGCCTAGGAGCAGCAGGGCAGACCAGAGACTCCAGGGCTGGGCCCACCAGCATGTCCCACCAATTCACCCAGCCTCACCCCTCAGCCCTGGAACTGGAATGGAATGGGAAATATGATTTGATATAGATCAGAAATGTCATTGCCAAGGGCTTTTATAGCTTTTTTCTCTCTCTCTCTCTCTCAGAGCTAAGGACCAAACTCAGGGCTTTGCACTTGCCAGGCAAGTGCTCGTCCATTGAACTAAACCTCAACCCCTGCCAAGGGCTTGGAAAAAGAAGCTCCCTCAGCTCGGCACCCGTGGCTCATGCCTGTAATTCCAGCTACTCTAGAGGCTAGGATCTAAGGATTGCAGTTCAAAGCCAGCCTGTGCAGGAAAGTCCCCGTGAGACTCTTATCTTCAATTAACCACCGGAAAACCAGAAGTGGAACTGTGGCTCAAAGTGGTAGAGCATGAGCCTTGAGCAAAAGTGCTCAGAGACAGCACTCAGGCCCTGAGTTCATGCTCTACAGCTGCCAAAAAAAGAGAAGCTGTCTCATTCTGAAATAAGGAGACTGGGTAATGCTTCTCCTAGATAATTGGCCCTTGATGTCTCCTGATTGTTTCCCAAGCTGTTTTGCTTTTCTATTAGGTTTAAGTGTCCTCATCTGGTGTGCTTTGCTTTTGTTAGGTTTGATTCCACACAACTTATGTGGTTTGGGTCCACATAAGCTTTGTACTAGCTGCCATGAGCTGCTGGTCATCAAGACGTGAGTCTACCAGCAATCCACCGGCTCTCCAATAAAGACTCATAATTTGGCCTCTTAAGTGGTGTCTTCTCTGTATCTTGCTGACTGGATTTATTGGGTTAGCCTTACAACAGTTCCATTAAGAAAGCTATTGGTAGACCTGTTCTCTCCAGGTGGAGGGAGACATAGGAAGCAGAATTTCATGGGGCCCAGCTCATGACCACTAGGACACTAGTGTCCAAAAGAAGCAGACACCAAAGAAGGCAATGGGAGAGATGGAATGAGGCTGGTCTGTGGTTTTATCACTAAAATGCCACACCCAGTCTGACCAAGCCCACCCCAATGTCTGAACTTTTCAGCCAGTAAGTGCTTTCCATCATCAATCTGCAACAGTCTTCAGGTCTGTGCCAAAAGATTCCTCACTGACAGGCCCATTGTCCTGTCAGTGACCAGTGATTTATCAAAGCCGCAAAGGCTCATGGAGAAGATTCGGGGGGCAGAGCAGTCGGACCTGGGACGGCCTAGACAATAAAGTGGTGTGGTCAGGAGGTGCCACAGGCAAGAACGGTGATGGAGGAACCAATCTGAAGGCGAACCTGCTGGTGCTGCTCTGGAAAACCCCAGCCACCAAGGGGGTCAAAGCCACAGGAAGACGGGAGCGTCTGATACTCACATGTCTCCTCTCCGTGTCGGTGCCATGCTGACCTTGGAAGCATGCTATCAGGCGCTTGTGGGAATGGTGGCACATTGACCGCACTGTGTCCAGGCGCCGCTCGATCTGACAAGGCAGAGACAGAGAACCATCTGCATTCAGCCTCTTCAGTGTGTGATGCTGTCATGGGGGTGAGAAGCACTCTGCAGTCTCACGCTTTGGCTTCTGGGTGTGGATGGACGTGGATCCCAGCTTAGGCAACTCTGGGCTGCTCGGTGCACTGCACACTATTCAGCAGCGCCTCTGTCCTCTATCCATAAGACACCAGTAGCTCCCCATTGCTGGTTGTGTGACAACCAAAACTGTCTCCAGGTATGGTCCAACTTGTCCAGGTTGGCAAAATCAGCCCTGGCTGAGAACCACTATCTCCCCAGCACTGACGGCATTAGACCTCTTCAAAGTGAAATCTGTGCAGGGGAAGGGGACCGCCCTCGCTAAGCCTTCCTGTCAGGTGGTGGTCAGCTGGCCCACCATGGCACCAGCAAGGCCCTGGATCCAGCCAAGCAGAATTGTACTGACCCATCCAGGCCCAGACCCACTGCTGAGTGGGGGAAGCCAGGGGGAAACCAGAATCCCTCTCTAGCTGGGGAGCCTATGCACACAACACGCAAGGGCAAAGGTCAAAATCAAGTGTCCACAACTGCAACTTACCACCTATGTTCTAAAAAGTATTCCTTATTAGGTTTAGGGAGTGTTTTTGTTTTTGTTTGTAAGATGTCCAAAGCAGGAGGAAACGCTGGCTCGGGGACCCACGCGTCCTGAGTAGCTTTTCCTGGGATATGGCTGTTTATGGCAAACAGAGCTGCCTGTTACGGGAAGGAATGCCAAAAATGTGTATTCTGATGACTCATGGAGAGTGAGAGCAGGCCCTTGGGGAGGCTTTCTATTTTCAAGAAAAGCCAACATTTTTGAAGCAAAAATATATGTTGTTGTCCTCAGAGGTTTTAGTGCATGAGTTGTTGCTTTGCACCTCTTTCCTGAAAGAGCCCCCAACTTGGGCTGCTCATCCGCAGACCCAAACTCGGGCCGCCAGACCCCAGATGTGGCAGGAAGACTAGGAGCACACTCCCATCACCTCCTGGATCGAGCAGTGATAATATTCTAAAACGTCTGCCATGAGAGCAAAACAAAGTCCCGTGACTAAATTTTGATATCGTTTTTTATCATTATATAGTTTTGATAATCTTGATAAATTGGATATAATGGGTCTGCCTCTTTCACTGCCCACAGCACTGTCTCTCCTGGGATCAGAAGCTGCTCACATATTACGTGTGAGCAAACAGAACAAGTATTTGTTGGGTCCCTGGGTTGGGTATTAGAAAAACAGTAACAGCTTGAGGTTCTTGTTCTCCAGGGATCTACAGCCTCCTGGGGCAACTCCACCCAACAAAAGCAAAATTCAGCCCTTGAAAGGCTGTAAGAGACCTAAGAAAGAAATGGGAGAAGGAAGAACAAATCATGGGTTCTTTTTACCTGAGAAAACAACATACAACTCTGTGGCTGGCAGTGATCCTAAGACTAACACCAAACTACATTCCTCATCCATTATCTGTACTTCCCATGGTGAACTCATTAAACCCTTCTAGTGGTGCCCAGGTGTGGGGCATTCCATCCTGGGGAGGGCTGGAACCTAAGGGACCAGTAGGTGAAGCAGGTCCTTAAGGTAAGAGAGCTGGCCAGCAGCAGCCCAGCATGCTCACACAGGGAGCTGGGTACCGAAGTCGGACCTCTGAGGGAAGAGGGAAAACACCTGCGCAAGTAGCAGAAGTGAAGATCTGTGCCATTAAGGCAGGAGCTTCTAGGGATTGGCAATGCTCTCAGCCGTTTACTCTAAGGGACAATGAATGATAAGATACTGTCTATCCCCTATGGTTGTGGCCATGAGCATTCATTCAGCCATCTCCAGGTACCTGTGCAGGCCTAGGCCTCAGGTTGTAAATGAGATAATACTCTATAACTTCTGTATTGCTCACGTGAGATGGGGAGAGAAAACCTAGCATGCTTAAGCAGAATCCTGAATGAATTTAAAACACATGTTAAAATCTAAGAATAGATATTAAACATTTAATAACTATGCTTCCTCAATAAGCTTTTCAAAAACTTCTATTTAATATTTTAAAGGCTTCTAGTCTTAAAAAAAAAAGATAAAAAAGAAGGAAGGAAGGAAGGAGAGAGAAAGGAGAAAAAGGGAAAGGGGGAAGGGAAGAAATGCTTTTAAAAGTCATATAGGCTGGGGGGAGGGGCATAGGCCAGTGGTGGAGTACATTCCTAGCATGCACAAACCTGGGGTTGAATTCCTAGCATCCAAAACTGAAGTAAAACAGAACCCCAAACCGGAGTTTTGCATACATAGATTTCGCTAAGTGGATTGAGAGTTTTCAAGAAGAAAACAACTGTACTGACTTGTGCAGACTGTTTCCTTGTCACTATTCCATAAACAATACAGTGTAACAGCTGTTTGCCTTAGCACGAACATTTCACCGGGTTACAAGCCATCCACAGAGGACTGAAAGTGAGCAGGAGGATGCACAGGCGATTGCCAAACTCCAGGCCATTTCATAAGACTCCTTTCCACCTGTGAATACGGAGGACTGACTGACCACAGGCCATTTACAGATGGCTGAGGACTTACAAAGGTGCTTTGTCTTGGTGTAGTAAAAGCAGCATTTTTCTAAATTATCCCACTTCCTCTTCTATATGGGAAGACAGGCACCCAGGAGCAAACTTCTGGTGCTCAGGTGCTCATGTGGGTAGACCTGCTACAGGTTATAGAAAATGAAAAGCAATGAGCTGGGAAGGTGGCTCAGTGGTAGAGCGCTTGCCTTGCATGCCTGAGGCCCTGGGTTTGATGCCTCAGCACCACATAAGCAAAAAGAAAAAAGCCGGAAGTGGTGCTGTGGCTCAAGTGGTAGAGCGCTAGCCTTGAGCTGAAGGACAGTGCCCAGGCCCAGAGTTCAGGCCCCATGACTGGACCAAAAAAAAAAAAAAAAAAAAGAGAAAATGAAAAGCAAGCAGACAGGTAAGGAAGCTTGCCCCTCCTAAGAATTCATCTGTGCATCAGGGAATGAGCAGAAACTGTTCTATGTCCAGAAGAAACTCCTAGCACTATGGTTAAGAGAATCACAGCAGGTGGAATGGAATGGTGCCAGCCAGAATGTACTGAAGGGAATGAGAAGAAAGAAGGTTGGGCCTCGGGATGGTGTTGGACCTGTGTCCTGTCACCAAGACCCGCCAGCCCAAGCTGGGGAGCAACAGCCTAGGAAGGACAGAGATCTAAGCTCTGAGTTGCAACTAGAAGGCCTTGTCTTCAGCTGACAGTGCTTTCTTTGCCTACTAAGGACACTGGCTGGACAGCAGATTAGAGCCTCAGCCTGCCCAGGACCCATGACTGGGTCACGGTGCCAGAGCCTAGCCAGGCTCCACCCCTCCCAGGACCTGGCACTGGGAGACAGGACAGCCTCATCTGAACTAACATGACACTAGGGTTTCAGATCCTCTTGCTAGCACCACATACTCTGCCACTTCCCTTTCCTGTCAAAACCAAGCCCATTTGTTTTATTCCCTTCCAGCTTAAAAAAGAAAAAAAAAAAACAAACATGCTCTCCTGCTGAAGTATATACATAATCATTGGCCTTGGGTTTCTTTTTTTCATTCTATGTCTTTAAACAGATCACTTTAAGGACACTTTATTTTGTTACCTGTAATAGATCTTCACTGAGGACTTCTGTTTTCTCAGCTCTGTGGGAGAAAAAAATTAAATATTCAGAATTAAAATCCAGGAGAAGCAACTTGTGAAACTTGTGGGGAAAGTTCCCTGACATGCACATCGGATGGCAGGTTAAGTAAAACCAAAGAATAACAAAAACGGAGCCAGGTACCAGTGGCTCACACCTGTAATTCTAGTTATTCAGGAGTTTGAGATCTGAGGATCACAGTTTGAAGCCAGACTAGGGGATAAGTAAGTGAACTCATCTCTAATTAACTACCCAAAAAAACCCTAGAAGTGGGTAACATTGTTCAAAAACAAATGTACTCATTACCTGACATATTTATATAACTGTGACCACTCTGTAGGTTATCTTCATAATAACAATAAAAATAAATATTAATGAAAAAAAAAGCTAGAAGTGGAGCTGTGGTTCAAGTGGTAGAGAGCCAGCTTTGAGTGAAAAAGCTAAGGACAAGGCCCAGACCCTGAGTTCAAGCACCAGTACCAGCAAACATGCACATGCATGTGCACACACATATGCACACACACAAACGTACACGATGTGTTCAGAAAATTGTAACCCAACAGAAGAATCCATGGTTTCAAGGCAGTGGTTCTCCACTTGAGCACGTACAGATTCACCCAGTGCCTTGCTTCTTTCAATCACCCTTTCACAGGATGCATAGAGGACTCTGTTCTAACTCAGTGAGTCTGAAGATAGGCCCCTACCTGCTCAGGACCTCCTTGGAGAAGGTCTGAGGCTGCCCTTTAGAGAATAGGATTCCACTCTCAAAGCTTAACCTTCAGTTCTTAAAAGGATCACGTGTTGCTGGGCTACAGTGGCTTACAACTGTAATCTTAGCTACTCAGGAAGCTGAGATTTGAGGATCACCGTTTGAGGCCAGCCTGGGCAGAAAAGTCCCCGTGAGACTCCAATTAGCCACTCAAAAACCAGAAATTGCACTGGGGCTCAAAGTGATAGAGTGTTAGCCTTGAGCACAAAGAGTCTCAGGGACAGCGCGCAGGCCCTGGGTGCAAGCACCACCACAACCAGGGGGTAAAAAAAAAAAAAAAAGGATCTCTTCCTAAATTTCACTTAGAAACATTATGCAAATACACGTCTAGACCAAAACAGGCAACAGTAACAACTGAGTATTCCTTCCTTCTTTAACTCAAAAAGAAACAAAGCATTTCATAACTCTCCCTTTGCACAGCCCTAAACCTTCCCAGAAACCCAGATGGTGGCCAGCCATCAGAAGATGGATTCGACTGATCAATCGAACAGTTAGGTGAAGGCTTGATGTATAAGTCTGTAGCATTATGGGAAGGCAGTGGAATCTTTAGGAGGAGGAAGTTAGGCCCCTAGGGGTGTGCCCTGGGAGGGGATTCTGGGGCCCTGCCTCTCTCTTTGCTTCTTAGTGTGCAAAAGGCTTCTTATGCCATGTGCTCCACCCCCATCTACTGTGCTGCCACTGATCATGGACCGGAGCCTGTGACACCGAGCCAGCAAGCCTTCCCTTCTTCTGAGTGGGCCTGCTTTAGGGATTTTGTCATGGTGATGGAAAGCTGACAAGTACAGAAAGCTGCCTTGCTGCCTTACATACCATCCACAATTGCTGCCACCTAAGTGCCATTACAGATTTCCAGTCCAGGTGGTGATTCGAGCCAAGTCTTTTAACATACCTACTAAGTTCCCAAGATGTGGCTGCAACAAGGAAGTTTTTAAAGAGAAGGAAGAGTCTGAATTTTAGTGGAGTCAGGGAGAGTCCAAAATGAACTAGAAAAGTCTTGCCCTTTTTATAAGCTGTATGGCAGTATGCAGGACTGCCTGACCTTGGCTAGAAACCAATACAAGAGAAGGAAAGTCTGATCAAAAGAGAGCGGGAGGGAGGGGAGACATACAGGGAGAGAGGGGAGGGAAGACTAAAGTGACCTCAAAACACAAAGCTCAGGCAGGTGACAGTGGTTCATGCCTGTAATCCTAACTACTCAAGAGGCTGAAATATAAAAATCAAGATTCAAAGCCAGCCTGGGAGGGAAAGTCCTTATCTCCAATTAACTACCAAAAAGCCAGAAGTGGAGCTGTGGCTCAAGTGGTAGAGCCCTAGCCTCGAGCACAAAAGCTCAGGGACACCACCCAGGCCCTAGGACCGGCATGTATGTGCACACACACACATGACACATGCACACATGTGCTCTCTCTCTCCCTCTCTCTCTCACACACACACACAACTGCACAAAGCGTAAAGCAGCACAGCTGTGGGCAGGAGACAGGAGCCCTTGGTGCCCTCCAGCCTGTGCTGAAGGGCAGGGGCATATCAGTCAAGCCGGGCATTGACACAGAGGATCCATGGCCAGGGTCACAGAGAGGCCCAGTTAGCCCGGAGAATCTGATTCCAGGGGAAACTGGGACTCTGCCCTGACTGGAATACCTCCTCAGACCACAGGACAGAGCCTGGAGACAAAGTCAAGGCCTCAGCACCTACAGTTGGCTAACTCTTAACCCTATGAACAAATTCTACCAGCAGCGGGCCAAAATATGCCATCCTAGCCCTTGCTTGGCATGCATACTGCCAGGCATTACTGAAGTGCCAAATGCAGTAAGTGAAGCAAGGACCAGCTGACGCAGGCTCTTTTTTAAGCTAGCAGGAACACACCTGGCCAGAGATTCCCCCACCACCTCCATTCCTCTCACCAACAGCCTCCCCTCCTCTCCTCTAGGAAAACACCACCCTTGAGAAGATAACTTGCTTTTTAGTCTCTACCCAGGATCAAACATCCGCATAGGTCCCTGTGTCTGTGACAGATCTCATTTGAGCTCTGGAATCTCTTCTCTCAGTATGAGAGAAAAGGCTGAAGGTCTATTTAACATTTTCTCAAGCTCACGAGAAAGGAGTTCAGCCTGGGAACCAGAGCATGGCCTTGGAATGTAGCACAGAAACAGGGGGCTCTCTTACACAGAGACCCTCTGCTGGCCTGACTTGGGCCCAAACGATCTGATCTCCTTCTTCCTTGTGACTGATCATATGCTGATTTAATTAATTTTTTGGTGCTGGTGCTAGAGTTTGAACTCAGGGCCTGGGCACTCTCCGTAAGCTTTTTGCTCAAGGCTAGTACACCACCAGTTGAGCCACAACTCCACTTCCAGATTTTTGTGGTTAAGTGGAAATAAAGAGTCTCAGGGACTTCCCTGCCCAGGCTGGCACTGAATTAGAATCCTCAGATTCAGCCTCCCAAGCAGCTAGGATTACAGAAATGAGTCACTGATACCCCACTGAATTATCTTTAAAAAGAGTTCATCTTGATCAGTGATGTGGAGTTTTTACTTGAGCAATGTCTAGCAATCATTCAGTATTCAAAACACCAGAAAGGTGCTCACTCAAACAGGCAGGTGAATTTACCAGGAAATATTGCTGTTTTTTTCCCCCCCATTGACCATGGTATTTCCCCTGCCAGATAAGTATGAGGTATGCTGTCTTGAGTTGCTGCTGTGCTTTTTAAATTGATCAAGGGTGGGGGACAACAGACTGAACTATCATGACACCCAAAGGCAGTAGAAAACAGCCAACAATGTAATCTAATAATAAGAATAACGCTTGCTCAGTCAGATTGCTGTAAATCAGACATTTTGCTGCACAGCCCTAAGCTTTGTGCTTTGTCAGAGCCTTCTTTGTGCCCAATGTTCTGAGCCTGAAAACACACTTGAGTGTTTCCTGTCTATAACTGGGAAAACAATACCGGCCAGGAAGGAACTCGCCACTCGCCATGGAGTGCTGGGGCTTGTTTTTTCCTATGCAGGCCAATCTACCACCCCACCAGGCACTCCAGCCAGGCTCACCCTGCACGGGACCGTTCTTTTACTTTTTTTGGGTAATGACTGGTGGATGATGGGCAGAAGGCACGTTTCTCTTTGTAATTCCCAAAGCCTCAAAGCGGCAGCAGCGCTGTGTGGGCCTTGATCTAGTCACCTTTCTTGTGACTAGGGGTGGTCGGTTCTAGCCTGCTACCTGTGTTCAACTGATGGACTCATCCAGCTCATCTGCTGGAAGAAAGGAAGAAGCAGATATTCCCAAACAAACCAACAAACAAAAAGATGGAAAACGCTCAGGCTAGGGCACGGCATCAAAGGAAAATATTCAATCAACCTGCCATTGGCATTGCCACCAGCCAAGCACAGAACACTCAGGTTCACGCCATGGACACAGGCTTTGGTCTGCCACGGAGAAAGAGTCCTCCTGACCTCCCCTGTCCGGGTGGGCTCCACAGATGGTGAGACCTGATGCTGACACTCTCCACTGCCTCCCCACCCCACCCCACCCCCCAACATCTGGCTTCACCCAGTGCCCACAGCAGGCCCTGAAGACACTGGATGAAAGCAGGAGAGATGGCAGTCACAGTGGCTAAGAAAGGTTCAACAAACGAACTTTGCCTCAGAAGAGGTAATAAGAATTCAATTGGGGGCTGGGAAGGTGGCTCAGTGGTAGAGTGCTTGTCTTGCATGCATGAGGCCCTGGGTTCAATTCCTCAGCATCACATAGGCAGAAAAAGCTGGAAGTGGCTCTGTGGCTTGAAGAGCTGAGGGATGGTGCCCAGGCCCCACAGCTGACCAAAAAAAAAGAATTCAATGAAGTGAGGTAGAAAAGCAACTTTGTCTTTCATAATGTGACCCACAGTGACAAAACTGTCTTTCAGGGGCTGGGAAGGTGGCTCAGTGGTAGAGTGCTTGCCTTGCATGCCTGAGGCCCTGGGTTCGATTTCTCAGTACCACATAAGCAAAAAGAAAAAAGCCAGAAGTGGCGCTGTGGCTCAAGTGGTGGAGCGCTAGCCTTGAGCTGAAGAGCTGAGGGACAGCGCCTAGGTCCAGAGTTCAGGCCCCACAACCAGACCCCCCCAAAAAAAATTTAAAAAAAAAGAAAAACTGTCTTTCAAAGCTAATCTTTTGTTGTTGTTGGTCGTGGGGTTTGAACTCAGGGCCTAGGTGCTGAGCCTGAGCCTCTTTGTGCTCAAGGCTAATGCTCTAGCCCTTTAA